GCACCGAATATTCTCATCACAGAATCACAGCATGGAAACCCCTCTGTCTTTTGGGCTTTCAGCCTTTTTAATGGAGTGAGAAGGATACCGGGTTGGGGATTCCTCTCTCTGCCTTGCCTGGCCACAGCACTTTTGTGCTAGAAATAACAGGCATTTGGTCAACTGTGAAAGTGCTCCAAAGCCTCTGCATCAGCAGGAGCAGAGTGGCAGTTTGAAGCCTTAGGGACCTGGCAGTGTCTTGCTGCAAGAGGAATGATTTGGCTATTGGCCTTCTTGTGCCACTGTAATTACCAGCTTGCCATCTTTTCTGAACCTGCAGCAGAGAAGGTAAGAGGCTGGCTGGAAACAGCTCAAGTATGAGGCACTTGAGTCTTCCTTATTTATTTTTCTCCTAACTTGCTGGCTACTTGTGCAGAAATCTTCATGCAACTTCATGCAAATATAGTGTTTGTTCAAATCTGCTTCTGCAGAGCTTGCTGGGACTGTGCAAAAGGGGCTGTACATACCAAATTGCTCAAGTAATTCGATGGGCTGCAGTACCTCTTTGCAACAGGATGAGGGCCTCAGTTCTGTATGTGTGGTCAACTTAACAGAGATTTTAGACTTTGTCTGGTTTTGTTGCTATTCTCTTATAAAAAAGTATTATTTAAAATAGAAAAATATTAGATTATCTCAGATAAGTGGTGGGCTAGTAAAGGCACTTGGGATTTCATTAGGAAAAGGGTAGGTGATGTTAGCATATGAATAGCTGCAGCTGGAATTTACAATTCCGGATAATAATATTTTGTCTGTTCTGTTTTTTTTTTTGCTCCCTTTAAAGCTACTGTTCAAACACTTAAACATCAAAGTCTTCCCTTCTACACATTATTCATTCTTGCAAATGTCTCGTATCTTGCAGTAAAATGATCAGAAGGGTATGTCTCTTTAGATATGGTTAAGTCAATCTTGTGTCCTTTTGGAAAAGTGGTTGGGAGTGATTTTATGGTCATTAACTTGAATTCAATGTTTTTTTCCAATCTAAGCTTCTTTAGATGCAAAATACTTACAAGAAACTTTTCAATCACTTCTCGCCTCTCCCCAAAAGTAAAATCTTACTTACTTTGTTTCATCAGCAAGCCAGTTCCTTCATCTCCTTCTAGGGACATTAAAAGGAAACTCAATAGAAAACATTTCATAAAATACTGAAACTCATGTTGACTTATTTGAGTATGTGCCCACCATACCTGGGACTTCACAACAGAGGGCATGGTGATTTCAAGGGTTCTGCTATAGAATGGTACTTTGTAGGTCTGCCATGGTCTCTTATAACTTTTTCTGACCACTTCTGACGAAAACCTGAACTTAGGAAGTGTCTGCATGATGATGGGTATCTTGGTGATATTCAGTTGCTGCACAGTCTACAGCTTTCAGTAAAATCTAGTTCCTCTGTATTGACTGAGGTTAATAGCTCTGAATGAATTAGGGTCAAGTTGACTTGGAGTCTGTTGCCTTGACTAGTTACACGATGAGCTCTGCAGATAATGACTGTAAGATTGATGCTTTTCTAAAGGTTCTGTTCAAAATCTTTTTGTTCAGTGTTGTTTGAAGTAAAATTTACTGTCTCTGACCTCAGTAGCAAAGCAGAGCAGGCTTGTAAATGCAGAAGCAATGGAAGCTTTCTTCTATATCAATATCTTTGTGCCAAGTTGAAGTGTTCCGCAGTTAACAGGAGTCAACAAAAGCAAAGAAAACTGTTGTGAGATCAACATTATACAAGACCAATCTCAGTTTCAAGGAGAACCACAGACAATAGGAAGGTCTGGGTTTTATGCTGCTGTTGTCATTGCAGCCTTAGCTATTTGACAGACAGAAGTGCCCCAAGGCAATAAACCATCTTTACAACATTAGTGGAGATGCCTATGACAGATGGCTAATTTAGAGTGCTGACTGGTTTTAGAGTCTTTACCTCTGGCTACTTAACATCATCTTCAGCTTCAGCCAGCTGTCCTTTATCCAGGTGTCTATTCTGGGTGAGCACAGTGATAGCAGACAGATGTAAAAGTGTGACCAAGTGTAGACTGTCATTTGAATACACAGTATCTCGGTGTTTCTTTACAGTGGCTTTCTAATCCATCTTGGATGATATGAGTGAAAACATGAGAAGTATGTGTAAAATCAGTAAGAGACTAATAGTGAGAGTGATAGCAAGAGAGAGAAACTGGATTTGTGATTTGGAATGGGATGCCAGCATCGCTTCTGGTTCGTTCATTGATTTGGAACAAGTTACCAATGCCTTCCCCTGTTGCCATTTGTAAGATGGACTGGCAGCCTCAGCTGATTGGTATGGCTTCAACAAAAGCATTTTCCCTGAAATCCAGATGTTGCATATATTGATTTTGATCTAGTTTTCATTTGGCAATAGAAGCCTTTCAGAGGGAAGAAAAATTGGAACTTGATCTTTTTTGGAATGAAACAGTTGCTTCAGCCCAGTGCTGTTTGTGTGAAAATGCAAAGCTTTTTCCAATGCAGAAACAAAATGCATTTTCTAACCTTGCAATTTTACCATACCCACTACTGCCATGCTTCAGGCAGCTCTAGCAGTGTATCTTTTGTAACTTACTTTGAAATCCCTGAAAGAGCAGTGATTTAAAAGAGCTAGCTGTTATGGGAATGGTGTTAGGTAAGGTTTCAGCTATGTAAGCAGATTTTCATGTTCTTCTGTATACACTATAGGTTATTTTTAAGCTGACCATTAAGAACATTCACTTAGCAAAAGGAAGCAAGTGTTTGACCTCAGTCAATCATGGATGAAATCATGTCTTTGGAAGAGCCCATTGAAACCTGCAGTGATGCAAAACCCCCCTCATCAAAACTTGGTGAACTCTCTGAGGTAGTTGAACGTCTTTTATAACTCTCAGGACAACCCGTACACTCATGTGGCAGAATCCAAACTGAATTCTCATGGCCAGCTTCTGAGCTTGGAGTTTGTAATGGAAATACCAATCTAACAGACTCTTAACCATATCAAGACCAGCAGGTGTAGCTGTAATATATTAAATGCTGTAGAGACATGTGATAAGCTACAGTTGAGCATTAGTTTAATATGTTTTCTTCAACCAAAATGGTATTTTCTAGGAAAAGTAATGCTGTGACAGACTTGCAATAAGAATACTACTAAAATAATCAAAACACTGGAAAATGGCAGGTTCTGAGCTGCTTCTGATGAACTGACTGAGACTTTTACTATTGCCTCAGCGAAAGAACAGCTGGCACTGCATCTAGACAGTATTTATGTTTAGGAATAGAACAGTCCTGTATGAAGTAACCAAATCCTGTATGCATTCCTATAGCTATACCTGTTTGTAAGAGGTAACACTGCAGAAACCTGTGACATCTTTTGGCAGATATAAATTAAGTTATGGTGAAACTCCAGTCTAGGTGAAACCTCAACACAGGTTTCATTAGCGAACCCCAAAAAACAAGGGAAGAAGTCCTCTAAGAGCAGCATGTCCTCGCAAGCGAACTCAAAGGTGAGCAACAGGAAGGTCAGAGGTGTGACAGCAGTGAGCAGGTCTTGCCAAGTTACAGTGAACTCAGGGAGGTTGTAACTTTTGCTGCATTTTGAGCTTGGCAGCCCCCAGAATCAAGAAGAAAGGATGAAAGGGGAAAAACACAATCCAGCCCTCTGAGTGAGATGGTATAGAAAGGAGATCACTATGAACGTGAGTGGAGAAGCTACTCTATGAAAGGGCTTATTTAATGGGCATTGGTATCAAGCTTATTGATCCTGGTCATTCCTCAGCAGTTGCTGGATGTGCGTGTCAGAGCAAGGGCCTAGGCTGCTTTTCCCCACCTGTGTATAATTCCATGATGGGAAACATGGACCTGTTGGAGTGAGTCCAGGGGATGGCCATGGAGATGATCAGAGGGATGGAGCACCTTAGCTCTGGGGACAAACTGAGAAAGTTGGGGTTGTTAAGCCTGGAGAAGAGAAGGCTCCAGGGAGACCTTAGGGCAGCTCCCAGTACCTAAAGGGGCTGACAAGAAAGGGGGGGACAAACCTTTTCGTAAGAAGAAATCTTTATGCTGAAGGTGGTAAAACACTGGCACAGCCTGCCAGAGAGGTGGTGGATGTCCTGTCCCTGGAAACATTCAAGGCTAGGTTGGATGGGGCTCTGAGCAACCTGATCTAGTTGAAGATTTCCCTGCTTATTGCAGGGTGGTTGGACTAGGTGACCTTCAAAGGTCCCTTCCAACTCAGAAGATTCTGTGATTCTGTGGATGCTTGGCAAGAACTTCTTTCTCATGGTCCCAGCCATGTCACTTGCAGTAGGACCACTAGCCAGTGTGGTACATCACATCCTATGAGCTCGCCCTGTTGCGGGTAGCATATGAGCTTGTTCCGGGTTGTTTCCAGTACTGGGGCAGGTGGGGCATCGTCCCACCTTCAGGGCACCTCATGGGCAAGGACAGCCTTCGTCCTGTGCATGGTCAGGAGCTGAGGCTGGTGCTGCCTGGGCAGGACGAGGACTCGAGGTGGGCAGCGAAGAGAAAACGGCCATTGGTGTCTGTCGTGGGAGAGAAGCACGCGACTCGCCTGGCTCCTTCCCCGCCCCGCCGTGCTGAAATGCAGCGGGGAGGGCCGGGCCGGGGCGGCGCGGCAGGGCCCCGCAGGCCGGGATGCGGGGCGGGGAGCCGCGGGCGGGGCGGTGCGGGGCGGCACGGCACGGCGGCTCCACCGTGTGCATGTAGATGAGATCCCCCGGAGCACGTCACTCCGCACCGGCGCTCTGCGTTTGGGGCGGCGGGGAGCGAGGGCGGGCGAGCGGGAGCGGCCGGAGGAGGAGAGGCGGCGGCGGCGGCTCGGCAGGCAGCATCGCTCGCCCCCCCCGCTCCATGCCGCGCAGCCCGCCGCGGCGCGGGGCCCGCGGGGCGAAGGCGGGCGCCGGGCGGGGAGCGGCGCGGCGGTGCTGAAGGACAGCTCCGCTCTGCTCCGCTCTGCTCCGCTCCGCTCCGCTCTGCTCCGCGCCCGTCCCCGCCGCCCCGGGGCGCGCCCCGCCGCAGAGTGGCCGCGGGGCCGCTGCCCGCCGCGCCTTGATGTGCCCCCCGCTACCGCGCCCGCGGCTCCCATGGCGGTGGCACGGAAAATCAAAACTTTGTTGACGGTGAACATCTTGGTCTTCGTGGGCATCATCCTCTTCTCCGTGTACTGCCGGATCCAGGACCGCTCCCAGGAGCTGGTGCAGATCGTCCGGAGCGCGGACCGCCGGGCCAGGAGCCGCGGTGCCAAGGTGGGCAGCCTGGCCGACAGGGAGTCCATCCTGCAGCGCCTGGACCACCTGGAGGAAGTGGTCTACAACCAGCTAAATGGTACGGAGGGCTGGGGGGGGGGGGGGTGCAGCACCAGTCCCAGGGTGAGCTGTGTCCTAGGAGGCTGCTGCAGATAGGGAAGTGCTCCCGAAGTGAGGAGGGAAGCCCGGGCATCATACACACTAACCCCAGTGCTGAAGGGCTGAAAATGAAGTGGCTGCAGGGTCTTGCTGGAGGGATTTGTTGAGCCCCCCCAACTCTCAGTCCAAAGTCAGAACTTCCTCAGTAGGTACAAAGTTAAGGAGGCTGCAGGGTTCACGGGTTTAAGGGTTAGTGGAAGTTCCTACCGACTGTACCAGGGTTTACAGTTTGCCCGGATATATTAACTTTGCCTGGTGTTTGTGTAGCGAGTACACTGTTAGGTTATAGCTGGAAGTCATTTGCTTGGTCTCAGAACTACTTTAAACACGTTCTGCTGAGTTCTGATGCTGTGTACTTTTAATGGTCTATTTAAACATAGCACACATACGTTTCCTTAATGACTGCCATTTATATTTGGTATTATCTTTGGTGAGGAGGGGGAAGCACCCACCACTTCTTTTTATTATGACATACTGTTCTAATTCACCAGCCTTGAAAAGTCTTGCTAGGTAACCAAAGAACCCTTCCATTGCAGTTGGAATAGCCTAAGCCATAAAAGTTGCTGTAGGATGACTAACCTTTCGTATAGAAACTGGTTCTTTAGAACAAGTGCATTTGTATTTGCATAGATTTGTAAAGGTCTAAGGGTAGAACATCAAAAAAATAAGTTTGTGATTAAATACATCCGTGCATTGGACAAGGAGAGGATGAGGGAGTGAACTTTTACATGAAATTGTAATGTAAATGTAACATTTAGTGTCTAGCACCAAATAAAACTTGCAGTTTAAATATGTTTCAGTATACCAAATGGGCTTGTAGGCTGCTTGGGAAAATCTTACTTGTAACATTGATTCAACACAGGCTACTGTAGTCTCAGAATGCAGACAAATGGGAGGGTTAGGATGAAGTATATTTCCTATTACTACTTTCTGAGTGAATGTATAAATCTAAGTAGGTTCGACTGTTATGGTAATACTCAGTCTGCCAGCGAGTGTTACAGGCAGGCATCCCTTTACGCGCTCCTCTATGTAAACAGGGAAGAGAGAAGGGGAATGTGGAGTGTGGGTGTCAGTCACAAAAATACAGTCATGAATTAGAGGGAAAGTGTCAGCAGCTGTGTTTCCTAACCATATTTTGGAGCAGTTTCGAAGGATTTAAGAGGGAAATCCTCCTCCTGAATTCCACGAAGTCATGGAGTTCCCAAGCTAAATTAGATCAGTCCCTGAGCTATATTCATCATAGCTCAGCTATGAATTGATTGGTTCTTGGTGGTGTTCATAGGTGAGGCTTGGGTAGGATTTACCCAAGGTTCATCTCAGCATCCCCCAAGAATCAGCAGGAGCCCATTGCATGAATGATTGTGGCTTCACAGTGATCAGGAAGGTCTCTGTAAAGTATGCCTTTATTTTGGGGCCGTTTGTTCCTTTTCCTTTAGTTTGTTGGCTACAGAGCTGCCCAGTCAAATTATTTGAACTTAAATGTTATATTGCTCCTTCAGGTCATAATAAACACTGCAGGCAGTTTCTTCTTGAAAGTTCTTACATAGGAAATAGAGTTTTTCAAGCTGGTCTGTTCATTTCCCCTCAGTTTCTCCCTGACACAGTTGGGGCTTTTTATTTCACAGTGGTACATTCACACAGATGAATTATTTGATCATTGTGAAATGATACTTGTCACTGTCTTTGTTTTCTTTCTTCATCTTGTAGCGATGAAACTGAGAAGTCAAAAAACTTAGGAAGTGCTCCACTGAAATGATCAGAGTTGCATCACTGTAACATGAAATCGGGATCAAGCATCTGTGTTTGGGTTTAGCTCACTGGTGTTGTGTTTCTAGTATCATGACTCATTACTTATGCCATTAATGGGCATACTGCTGCTCTGGCAGCATTGAGATTCCAGGGAGCCTTTCTGTGACGATGCTCTACCGTGTCTCACAGAAAGACTGGTGTTACTGAAACACTCTGTCTGCTCTGGAGCTGTGCAGCATCATCCGCATGTTGAGCAAGGTTTCTCAGACATTATCCTGGGTACTGTTTTGCCACAACGTTGGAGAGCCCTCTGAGGCTTTCTTGGATGTTACGTTTTCATGAAGCAGGTCAGAGTCACTTTTATATGGACAGACAGGCATGGGTAGATTCAATTCATAAGGAATATGGATTCCTTCCATAACCAGAACTCCTGCAAGTTTGCCTCCAGTTCAGTGCTGTGGTTACAGTAGGTCTGTCCAGATCAGGATTTCAATTTCCTCCTCCTGCTTATTTCTATTTTGAGATCAGAGAATTTAGAGCCACCTATTTAAGTGTCCTGTATTTTTGGTAATAAAGTCTCGGTGCTCTTTTATTCCATTTTTCTCTTCTATTTGGATTAGTCCTAAACTGGTGAGACCTTAACTGGATTTCCTAGGGACTCTGTCGAAGATCCAAGGCAATAGAAAGACTTTTCTGTGAGAGATCAGCCCTGCAGCTATTCACAGTTTTGTTTCCATCACACTTATTTGTTTGCATGAAATCACAGAAATGTTATTTGAAAGTGTACTTTCTGCCAGGAAAAATGAAACACAAGCAGCAATGATACACATGCATCAAGAGGCAACCCAAATCTGATCACTAGAGAACTCATTAACTTCTTAGGCTGAATAAAAACTGTGCACACGATGCCTATGGAGATGGGAGCAGGACGCAGAGGACCACACGTGAAAGTAGAAAGTTGGTCCTCACAATTATCTTTGGCAGAACAAGAACTTTTTGGAACAGAATGAACGAGAATTGCCATGATTCCCTGCAGAGCAGTGCAGACATACACCCAAACAATAGTTTTCAGTTGGTTCGTGCTTTGGTTTTCTATCAGCTTAGAAAAAGAGTGTTTCTAAAAGCTTTCTGTTCGCTCAGCTGCTGTGAGTTGGGGTGTAAGTAAAAGAATGGAGCGTGCAAAGGGAAGCGAAAGCAATGAAACACATCAGTGGAATTTCCTTGGTGAAACCTTCTATTATCTCTTGATATTTGACTTAGAGTATAACAGTTGAAAAACTGAGTTATTTTGGATCTAGTTCATCAATCTCTATTTTTTTCCTTCTTACTGTGGCATTTCTATTGATGAGTATGATTTATTGTCAGTCAGCACAGAACTAATGCCAGACAGACTTAGTAGCAATTCATGAAGTGGCATAATGGTAACACCCTGGAATTCTCTGCCTTTGCCTCTGTTTTTTTTTGGTAAGGGGAACAAATAAAAAAGATTTAATTGACTGAATTCTTCCCCTAATCAATTTTGCATCTGAATGTGTTGCTAATGATTTATCATAGCGAATAAAGAATTTTTGATGCCCCAAGTAGAGCATAACCTTTCATGCCAAAACCAATTGAAGGGTCAGACTACAATTTCACTGTAATTGCCTTTTTCCCTTTTCAGTGTCTCTTTCCAGTAATACACAACAATCAATACAGCATGTAATTAGATTTCATTCAATCTGCAAAGATTAAGAGAATTTTCATCTTCTCATTATGTATGCTCACATCATGTCTTCCTATCCATCTCTTCTACATTAGACCTCTTTGACCTGCTCTGTTGCAGACGTGGAGGGATAAGTCTGGAGTATTTCCTTGAATTTGACAGATCATTCTTTACACATCATAATTTGATTTTGCTCTCTTTGGGAAGATTAAATACAGTAGCAATTTCCAGTATGATAAATGGGTTTTATATTGCATACACGTTTCATGGAGGAAGGTCGAGGAAAAGCTGGACAATTCACATAATTGCAGCACACTGGCTTAAAATGCTGGAAATAGCAGGTCCTAGGTGCACAGGACTGATTCATGCAGATGGTGACTCCTGATTTTTAGAGTGTACTGGAAGCAAAGTGATTGCATTTAAAATTCAGCCTGGCAATCTGCATACTTAAAAGGTACAGTAGTCTTTTTTAAAGGCCAGTTTATTCTCCATAGGCTTGGGACCAGTTGAGAATAGTTTAAAATTTCCATGTCAAAAGTAAGGGTTGGGAACAGGATGCAAACAGATCCTGCAAATGTCTGCATCAAATTTGTCAAAAAGATGCTTTTACAGCTGGCAACTTCCAGTTGAAGAGTAATTCCTTAGCAGAGAACAGAGGTAAACCACATGTGCATGGGGGAAGAGTCAGTGTGACTGCCAGCCTTGCATCAATGAAACTGCATTGTCTCATTGTGTCTTTGTTAGAACTGTTTAATTTGTTAATGGTCTGATGCTAACATAATTATCTCCTTAACATGTGGGGGACCGTTCTCAGCCATGTGCTTTACTTGTCTTAGAATCATAGAATAGCTGGGGTTGGAAAGCACCTTAAGATCATCCAGTTCCAAACCCCTGCCGTAGGCAGGGATGCCTCACATCAGCCCATGTTTCCCAAGGCTCTGTCCAGCCTGGCCTCCAACGCTGCCAGGGATGGAGCATTCACAACTTCCTTGGGCAACCTGTTCCGGTGCCTCCCCAGTTTCTCTGTTTACCACACAGGATATAACAAGTATTTTTGATTGTTCTGGGTCAATTACTCAAGCTTAGTTAAGCAACCATTGTCACAGGCCTGACCTGAAGGTGCTGCAAAGTGATGGTCAAGTCCAAAACACCGATTCTCACTGCACACTGGCTGTGTTAGACTTGATTTATGGAGCTGAGGAAACTCATCATTAGTGCTTTCAGGAAGGCCAAGATTTTATTCCCCAAAATAAGGGAAGAAAACATCATGGGTCAATATTTGAATAGCCCCTATAAAAATATAAGGTAATATTTGAAATAGAATTACTCTGTTCAGGCACTTTAAGGAGAAAAGGTCTAAAGGTTTGGTAGAAGGAAGAGGGTAAATCGCTTCTGTGAAACACGCAAAACTGCATTCAACTCTTTAAAGTATTGACAAATAGAAAAAATACATCTTCATTCCAGCAGCA